GGCGCGGGGCGGGGGGGGGGACCCAGCCCCCCGCTGCCCCACGGGGAACAGTCTCACGATGGGGACACAACGTCCACGGGGCCAGCAGCCCCTAGCCTGGAGGACGCTCACTGGGCAGGCAGCAGGGCCGAGCTCTGCCAGCATCACCGCCCCGGCACCCAGCGGTGCCAGAGCACCCCCTGACCTGTCCCTGCACGCTCCCATGGTGCTGGGCCTCTCCTCCAGAGAGCGAGGGGCTGGGGCAGCATGCAGTGCCGCGCTGCTCGGCATCACCGCGCTGGCCGGAGGGGGCTGTGCCAGAGCCCCCAAGGACCAGGCACCCCCGGCTCGTTCTGCAGGGGGGAGGCAAGACCCTATGCTAACGGGGCTGGGGGACGCATGCAGGGCACAGCACCGTGCGCAGGATCCGACCTTGGCAGCCAGCCCTTGCTGGGGGGGGGCAGCCCCACACCCCAGGCTGAGCCTGCCCCCCCCACCCGTGCCCGGCAGCCCCAGAGCTATCTGCCCTTCATGAAGCCATCGAGGACGCGGTCGCTGCGGTCAGAGAGCCAGTAGCCGGCCATGGCGGCCACGGCGCCGATGAAGATGGCAGTGAAGACCATGTCGCCCTTGGCGGCCAACGTGGCGAGGGCGCAGATCATCACGCCAAAGAACATCTGCTGCAGCACCACCACCTCGTCCTCCGTCACGTCGTCAAAGAAGCCCTTCTCTGGGGCATCTGCAAGGAATGGCGCTCGTGGCGGGGCACAGCCGGGCAGGCAGAGCCCCCCATTGCTCCCCGCACCCCGTTCCCCCCCGCCGCCGTGTCAGGCCATACCAGGGGGCTTGTCTTCCACGCACTGCCCGTCCTGCCGGACGTAGCCACGGGCGCAGACGCAGCGGTAGCTGCCCTCGGTGTTCTCACACACCTCCTGTGCCCCCGTGCACACCGGCTCCTCCGTGCTGGCGCACTCGTCCACGTCTGCGGGGGGAGGCAGGGCTCGGGCAGGGCTCGGGCAGCGGGGAGGGGGCAGAGCCACCCCTCAGCCCGCAGCAGGCACTCACCCAGGCACTTGGCTCCGTCCCGCCAGTACCCCTTGTTGCATTTCTTGCAGCGAGCCGGCCCGGCACCCATGCAGCCAATGCAAGCCGTGGAGCAGTCTGCCGTGGGGAGAGGAGCTGGGGTCACCGCCGGAGCCCCCTCCCAGCCCAGCCAGCGGCAGCCCGGGCCAGGGGGGACAGCCCCGAGCCAGGGGGAGCTGCCCGAATGGAAACCCCCCGCCTCCACCTGACCTCGGCACTCGTAGGAGCCCTCCGTGTTGACGCAGAACTGGTTGGCTCGGCAGTGCGCCATCTCCGTGCCACACTCGTCGATGTCTAAGGGACGAGAAGGGACAACCCCGCTGAGCCCCAGCTCCCAGGACACAGCCCCCACGGCCCTGAGCCCTGAGCTGCGCCCACAGGCCCTGGAAGTGCCTGCTGTCCCCCCGGTCCCACCGCGGCCCTCACCGATGCAGCGGTGCTCGTGCAGCACCCAGCCCCTCTTGCAGCGAAGGCAGCTGGAGTCCTCCGGCCCCGTGCAGCGCCCGCACGCCTGGTAGCACTCTGCGGGCAGGGGAGGGTGGGCGTGGGCACAGGCAGGGGGGAGCTGCCCGCGCACGGGCGGGGGGGGGCTCCCCGCCCCCGGTGCCAGGGCAGCACCGGGGCAGACCCCCGGCCGCGCAGCCCCCCTCCCCGCCGGGCCGGACCCCTACCTACCGGCACATACCAGGTGGCTCTTGTTCCGCGATGCCTCGTAGTAGCCGTCACCGCACTCGGCACAGAAGGGGCCACCGTAGCCCGGGCTGCAGCCCGTGCCCGGGCCTGCAGACGCACAGGCCAGTGCCGCGGCGGGTGCCGTTGCCGTCGCATCGCCCATTGCCGCTGCAGGGCTGCTGGGGCCCGCCAGCACAGGCTGCACGGGGAGAGACCAGCCAGCTGGCAGCCGGGGCGGGGGGCAACGTGGCGGGGGGGCCCCCCCCCCC